TTCTTCGATTCCAGCATACGAGTTATGCCAACATCGAGGCGATGCGTGAAAATGGCTATGAAGGGATACCCCTGTAGAAAAGACGACTGGCTATCTTTCTATGGGTGAGATGTCCTCTCTTAAAACTCCCTCTTTGCCATCTCGCTTGAATGGCAGGGCATACGCAGCAGCAGGTCAGGCTGTTGCTTCGTCGCACACGATGCGGTGCTCCAGGCATATTAGGCTGACCTGCTGGAAGACCTGGATAAAGGCCTGATGAGGTAGCTGAGTTGTGTCCTGCACCACGGATCTCACTCTCTGTGCTACTAAGCATGGCGGCTATGGTAGTTATGGAGAGACAACTGTGGGTGAACCTGGCAGATATCGGGATAGAAGAGAGGGGCTTTCCTCTTGATGCGCCGGTTTCGCCTTCCAAATTTTTTGGTTACGTCCGTTGAGACGGTGGTCGAGAAGTTCAGGGAGGCAAAGGCGTGCTCAGCGGCCTTCAATCCTTAATTTCACGATGGTCCAGGTCTAAGCCCAAACAGCATAGGGTTCCTGGTCCGTCTCGGTCTGAGGATCAGAGACGGGCACAGAAGGCTAGTGTCGCGGCTCGCGCTCCTCCCCCGCCTGTGGGTAGGGGTAGGAGGAATCGCGGGTCAAAGAGAGGTAAGCAAGACCTAGGGATGTGATCCAGGCAAGGCATCAGCGCTTTCGTCCGGATCAGAGTGATACTTGAGTATCTACTCGTTTCCTCTGGGGGTCTTACATCTGCCCTTAGCTCCTAATTCCCCTATAACCACCAGCTCTCCACCTGACCGAGGTTAGGTAGGAATTTTCCTGCATTTCCGTCTCCTATGCTGGACCTATATGTCTGGTTGGTTCTATGGGTTCATAGTGACCACCTTACTGATGGTCTGGACTAGAGGATTCTTTGAGTCGCCTCTTGAATGGGGCTCCGGCACGGGAACCATGGTGGGTGAGTATGATCCATTCTATATACAGTATATATATATGTATATATATATGTATTTAATGTGCTGGTGGTTATGTGTGTATAATCCTTCTGTTAGATTTATTTGCAGAATTTTCTGGGACCTGGGTGTTTCTGTCCTTTCTAAGGTAGGTCCTCTGTGAGCACTCCTTTGCTGGATTCAGAAACCAGGTGCTCGACATGCAGTGTTACCTCACTCGTCGATATTGTGTCCAGCCGGTATGATAGGTTCCGGCTTCATGCTTCCTGGATCATGCGGCCAGGTCATAGGCTTTTGCGGGAGCCTTTTTGACCATCAGGCCCCCGGCACGACACTGCAAAAAATTCCTGGATGTCCGGGCTCCAGGATATCCCCTCTTGCTGAGGCATCGAGCGGGAAGTATAGGTGGCATTTGCGAGAACCTTCTTGTATAATGCTGTCTCAGGCAGTGCTCCCCTCGCCTTAGAGGGTTGTATTTGAGCTTGCCTCTCCCGTTTGGCCCAGTACCTCCGGGTATCTGTGAACAGATGCCTGGAAATGTTAAATCCATGCTATGGTAAGTGCACACACTAAGCTCTGTGAACTTTTTGAAATCCACATAGTGGTAAGTGTGCACGCTGAGCAGGGAGAGCTGGGTGTTTGCCCCCTTCAGCTAGAGATTTACTGCTAGCCAATCCAGCTTTATGCCTTAGATCGAGTTGGTGACTCTCAAACATGTTGGTTTTGGGATGCACCATTCCATCTATGAGCTGCTCTTTCAGAGTGCCACGAGAGCCCCTTAGAACGGTATCCTAAAATCCATGTTATGGTAAGTGTGCACGTGAAGGCTTTGTGCACTTTCTAAAATCCACATTGTGGTAAGTTTGCACGCTAGTTCTTTGCATTCTTTTCTAAAATCCTATATGGCGAAGGCTTCGCGCGGTTGCTTCGTGCCCTTTCTTGAGCTGGTTAAAGCCCCGTTCACCTTGGGCACCACTCCACCTAGGTATCCTAGGATACCTACTTTAACAGGGTGTTACTATTAGAGGTCTGTTGAAACAGTTCCTTTCAGAGCTTATGCAAGAGAAAGTGGTAGCCCCTGTGTGACAGGCCAAGACTTAGTATGATACTAGGCTCTTGGTCATATCCCCTTAAAGGAATCCATTATGATTCCAAGCCTTGAGCTCTACCCCGGGCCCAGGAGTCTGGCCCTAACAGGTAAGTTTGGGTATGTAGCCTAGTCCTTTGGCCGTAAGGGATAAAGTCACGGACAGCCGTCTGACGTCCCAGGGGCAACTCACCATGAAAATTGTAAAGTTGGTACTTGGTGCGTGCCATGGTTCTGGCCCGCACTCCCCTCAGCATGGTGGCGTGGGTATACCGTTCCCCATAGCGACCCCTAGAGGACTCAGTTCAAAGTTCCCTTGACAGGGAACGTCTCAGGTTACTTATATAACCATGGTTCCCAGAGTAGGGAACGAGACACTGCGTCCTCTAGGCTTCTTGCCATACTTCGAACGCAAGCTTCAGACGAAGAAGTGAATGACATGTTCTCCCAGCGCCTACTTATACTGTAGTCGCACCGGTAGTGACGTCATGGTCTGTCGCCAGCCAACGTGTTGTTGGTGTTTTTTCAATGTATGCTTCAGACACGGGTCACGACAAGGCGTTCCCCATAGCGATCCCTAGAGGACACAGTGTCTCGTTCCCTACTCAGGGAACCATGGTTACATAAGTAACCTGAGACATTCATGAACAGAGTTGGGAAAAAGAAAATTACTAACGGAATAAAATGTTAATGATAATAAATTGTAATTGTAAATTGAGGAAGACTAAATAACTGGTCATTAAGTAGCAGCTAGAGCAAAGAATTAAAATATCCCAATTGTTACTTTTCCCCTCAAGAATAACATATCAAAACAAAGAAATAGTGTTGTATATATATTTTTATATTTTCAGTAACTAAATCAGTATTATTTAATAATACATTCATAAACATACATTTTTGCAGAATGTAAGTAAATGTGAGAAATGGCTATTGAACATTTTGCAATACACAAAAGAAACCAGGAGAGGGTGATATTCACTTTATATTTACATTGTTAACTATGTTCATCTGATGGTGCACTGAGTGAGCTCCTCCTCATTATCATTAACAACACCAAGGCTTTGAATAACAGACTCACAGTTTCAGGACTGAATCAAACTGCTTGGATATTACTCTATCAAGACATGAAACTATGGTTGGAAGTGTTGATTTTTGCAATAGTTATTGCTGGTATGATGCTGGTTAATTTATTTTAGATTATTTATTTGATATTTAATTTAATTTGTTTCTATTTATTTATAGTACTATTTGAAACATGATTATCATATATTTGCAGAATGTAGAGCAGAGGATACAGTTGATCAGCCAAATAAACACGTAACTGAAGCTGAAGGAGGATCTGTCACATTACAATGCAAATATACTGCAACTACAACAACAACACCAGAACTCTTCTGGTACATCCAGAGAGCAAATTACATTCCTAAATACATGCTGAGGAAAAACAAATACAATGGAGATCAGGGCACTGAGTTCCAGGAGAGATTTCACTCTGAAGTGTCATCAGATTCAGTTCCACTGACAATCCAGAATCTGCGTGTGTCTGACTCTGCTGTGTACTACTGTGCTCTGATGCCCACAGTGACTGAAAGTCATTCAGCTCTTACACAAAAACCTTAATCAGTGCAGATCTCCATTTTATCAAACAATCATAAATCAATCATCATTTTTCTTCATTCATTGTCACACATGTATATATACAAAAGCTTATTATTATTATTTAATCTATATTTTAAATTAACTAATATAATTTATTTTAAAATAGAATAAATGTTCAATGACAGTCAAGCTTGCTGTGGGTTGGCAGAAAAGGGGGCAGGTCTTGATATCAGCAATCACACCCACATTATTAATATAAAGCATATCAGTTCTTCAGTGCATTCATTAACCTATGATTTATGTACACTTAAAAGTAATTATGGTAGGCTATCATTTATCATTCAAAACATCATAGAAGGACTGCCCACTTTTAAAAACAGTTTAGATCTGAACAATCAACATGGAAAGATATTTTTTGATCCTCATAATCACATCAGGTAAAACTCACGTTTAGCAGTTCTTAGTTCAACATGTTAAGCAGTGCATTCAATTACATACATGTGTAATTCTTAACGTATCCTTTTTAGTTATATTGAAAGGATTGAGGTTGTCTTATTTATATTACTTCCAGGTGTGTTTTCTGACAGTATTGGACCAAATGAAGAGGATAAGGGTATAACCAGGAAAGAAGGAGAAACTGTGACATTGAGCTGCTCATATGATACAAACAAAAATATTTACCTTTACTGGTACAGACAGTATAATAACCGAGAACCTGAGTATTTATTGTATAAAGGTGCTCGATCATTCAGCGGAGCTGTTGATATACGAGATCATTTCAGCCGACTACATCCCAAACATCCACTGAACTCATTATTAAGACTGCAACTCTGTCAGATTCAGCTCTCTATTACTGTGCTCTAAGAGTAAGGGCCCAGTAATACAAAGTGCCTGAGAGGCTTTACAAAAACTCAAACACACAATTCTTGCTTTAAAAGTCAGTAATCAGATGTGTATAATACCACATGTACCCCTGAGAGTAAATAACAGAACACCTGCCGAACAATTTAGGAGAAGAGAAGGGGAGATATGATAATGAACCAGAACAAATTGATGTTTTACAGCAAAATAAATTTGACGTTATAGAAAATTTTTTAATTTTTAATTTAGTTTCACATTCAAATTAAGACAGACAAAAAATCTTAAAGGGGTAATGAAACTAGAAGCATGTGTCAAATGAATTCCTATGAATTGCAAGAACAATGATGTTGGAGGAGTGGTTGGACCTGATGTCATTAGCCACACCCACATTAGTAATAAACAACAGACCAACTCTCTACATATAGTAATTAATCTTGAGTAAAACTCAGTAACGCTGAAAAAAAAATATCCTCAGAACAGATCTGATCAAAAGCATAAACATGGAGAGATATCTACTACTAATTGTCATTACAGTATCAGGTAGAGTAAAATAAAATTTTCATTTTCACATTTTTTAAGTAACAGTAAGCAATACAGAGTAAATATCAAACTATGAAATTACATAGTTTTTGAAATACAAATTTTTAAATGGGCTGGGTTTCAGATGTACTGTTGTGTTTCTCAAATTTATATTCAGGAGTATTTCCTGACAGCATTGGACCAAAAAACAAGGACGCTATAATCAATAAAGAAGGAGAGTCTGTGACACTGAGCTGCTCATACAGTACAATCAGCAATGATGTTTATCTTTACTGGTACAAACAGTATCCCGACACAGAACCTCAGTATTTACTGTGGAAAGGTGCTCGATCATGGAACACTGAAGAAGATATACCAGACCAACGCTTTCAGTCAACTACATCCCAATCATCCACTGAACTCACTATTAAGAGTGTAACTCTGTCAGATTCAGCTCTCTATTACTGTGCTCTAAGAGTAGCAGCCCAGTGATACAAAATGCCTGAGAGGCTTTACAAAAACTCACACAAAGTTGAACAATAGTAATCAAATGTCTCTACACCACATTTATCTCTCATATAACCCACACAGAATAAATACACCACAATATGGTAACACCTGCTTATTTAATGGGAGTGAGAGAGGATCAAAGTAATTAATATTAAGACTAATATTAAAAAATGTATACCTTTATACAGATTTTACAAATTTATTTATACAGAAATAAAATAAATCTAAATAGAGATATTATAAAAACCTAAAATCTAATAAAAATTACAAAAGCACACTGAAATTGAAACGAAAACGGAAAACATAAAAATAAAAACTAATTCAAAATATATTTATAAATATAAATATATATATGAAAAATACTAAAAAACACAAAATATGGGATGGGCTTTAATGGCACAAACCACACCCACAAAACAATACCAGCGGAACACTTTGCTTTCAAGGCAACATTTAAAGTAAGAGTAGTGAATATTCACAAAAACTCAGTGTCATTTTGCACAGTACATAAAAAGACTTCTTTGCTTTTTTTGCGCAGCAACAGTTACAGAATGTCTACTTGGATCACATTTTTACTCATTCTTTTTTCATTTTCTTTAGGTATGTAATCAGTTCTTCTATAACCCATATTCTCTCTGTCATGACTTTTGAGATATTTTGTATTGATTTTCAGAATGCCGAGGAGAGGATAGTGTTACTCAGCCAACAAAAGTTCAAACTGCTACTGCAGGTGAAACTGTGACTATTGACTGCACATACAAAACCAACGCTTTCCCAATGCTTTACTGGTACCTATACAAAGCAAATCAAGCACCAAAATATATGCTGAAGAGATATGCTGGATCAAGCGATGAGGATGAAGACTTTAAGGAGAGATTTAATGCAAATCTACAAACCTCTTCAACATCAGTTCCACAGCCATCCAAACACAAAATTATCTTAACCAAACAGTTCAACTTTACTACAAAATTAAGCACTGCAATTTTTTCTAGTAATGCATTTATAAGCATAAGTAAATATTAACATCAAATCTATAGGTGGGTTCTCTATTGATTATAAAACACATTCAGCTGTAGATGCACAAATATGCTAATGAAAATACATGTTGACTTCAATTCTTCAACAGGGAGTTTTTCTTTTACATATATTGTGTATATCTAAACGAATAAAAATTGTTCCAACACCTGCTATCACCCATGAGAAAAAAACTAATTGCCCCTTTAAACTTAAAATCTGTTTGTGCCACCTTTAGCAGCAAGAACTTTTGCAAACAAACTTTTCTGATAACTACAGATCATTTATAAATGACTTTTTTAGCTGGTGAAAATACTAGTATTCTAATCATTTTGGTCACCACTATACACACGTGTGTGTTTGCTGTATACATGAATTATTGATCTTGCCTTTCATTTACATCTGGAAGAGAATTTCATTGCATTTTATCATAGAAGAAAAAATGTTAGAAGGTTGAATCCATGCTTGAAAAGCTCCTGTCTCAACATCTCCACAGACCTCTTCCTTTGTGGCTGGTGGTGTTACCCATGAGAAAAAAACTAATTGCCCCTTTAAACTTAAAATCTGTTTGTGCCACCTTTAGCAGCAAGAACTTTTGCAAACAAACTTTTCTGATAACTACAGATCATTTATAAATGACTTTTTTAGCTGGTGAAAATACTAGTATTCTAATCATTTTGGTCACCACTATACACACGTGTGTGTTTGCTGTATACATGAATTATTGATCTTGCCTTTCATTTACATCTGGAAGAGAATTTCATTGCATTTTATCTAGACTACATATTTGCTGTACTTACATCATAGAAGAAAAAATGTAAGAAGGTTGAATCCATGCTTGAAAAGCTCCTGTCTCAACATCTCCACAGACCTCTTCCTTTGTGGCTGGTGGTGTTGTTCTGGACCACCATGTCAACAATGCTTCTGTTCCATTCAAAATAATCTTGATTGTCCACCTGAATGATTTCAAACTTAAATTCTGAATTTTTTGGGGGATATTTACAGTAAATAACAGAAGTTGTCCCAGGAGGACTAAACATCTGTACTATGAACAATCATAGTACAACACTTTATAAGTGTTTTGAAATAGTAACTCCCCTCTAAAGGAGAGGCCATGATTTTTTACATGGTAAATTAGGGTAATTCTGATTTCACCTGAAATTCATCTGCACCTTCTTCCTCTCTCAGTTCTCTCTCAGTTTAGGGCCAATCGAATATATACTATGTTCATTTGATCGAATGACAAATTACAGAGTTTTGTTTGTTGTGTTTGGACAAATGGTTCATAAATGTTTGTGATTTGTGTAAAACCTTTTTTCAGCTATTTTAAAGTATTGGTTGGTTGTATTAACTATTGTGAAAACATTTTGAGCACATTGTTTTGAGAAAATAATTTGCATGATTTGTAATTTATATGAAATGAATGAAAATGTTCAATCTGTTTAGGAAAATTACAAAGTATTCAGATCACTGTGTTAACTGTTTTGAGAACAGTGACCTGAGTTTAGAGATATGTCAAATCGATTGAGAAAAACTGTAATAGAAGACAAAAATGCGTTGTTATAAAGGCTAAATGTAGTGTCATATATCATATCAAACATCAAACATCACAGGT